CCTAGAGCTTAAAAAAAAAAAAAAAAAAAAAAAAAAAATAAAAAAAAAAAAAAAAAAAAAAAAAAAAACAGATAAAAAAGTTTTAATAATAGTTTTTTTAACTTACAAACAGGAAAGTTGCTTATTTGAGATGTATTAACAGTGTCAAATGAACCGCAAGGAGCAGTTGGCTCTTTTTCATCAACGAAACCTCTTGTCGGAGGTGCTTGCAGTTGGAAATGTGCGTTCGCAACATTAAAAATAACAAAGAGAATTAAAACGTAAAAAATGATGGATTTCATAATTTTTTTTTTTTTTTTTTTTTTGCTTAAAAAGTTATTATTAAAAAAAACTTTGAAACCTTTTTATGTCAATACAGGTATTTATATGCATCTTTATTTCAAAATAAGTAATAAGGCTTAACGTTAAGAAGATCGGGAATAATTTTAATTTTTCTATTTTTGTAATTGTATTACACTAATCTCTGCCATAATAATTCAATATTTGTTTGGACCAAAAAAATATCACCATAATGGAATAAGGTTAATAAAGTTAGGAACCGAGAATAAGGTTTCAATTGACTGATTTAAGTGAAAAACTGTTAATGATGAATCAAACTAAAGAAAATAGAGAAAGGAATTGTGATTAACTATTTTAAATAAACAATTCAAATTTCGTTGTCTTGGGTATTTAGAAAGAATTAATTTCTAAAGTTTTGTTATGTTTTCTTTTCGTATTAAAAACTCAATTTTACATTTTATCAATATATTTAATCTTTTATAGAATTTAGACCAGACCTTCTATTATTAATATACGTGATACCACTCAAATAAAATTAATTTATCTTAGTTACTTAATAGTCTATACAATTAACTCAGGATCCAATTTAATATATAAAACTATTCGCATGTAAGACAACCTATATTTTATGAAGTAATTGTACTTTATTGAAAGGTTACATTTATAAAATATTTTTAATTGTGCATCAACTTTTCACCGATAGTAACACTATCTAGATTTCATGTTACACACCTCCTTATGTTTTTCCCTTTACAGGTGTACCAATTAGAATTGGATAGTTTGAATTAATCAGATAATTCCATGATTTACATAAAGAGATGCCAAGAACGATTACAGTATAAAAACTTGAATGCATTAAGTATAAATTTGTATAGATAAATGGAATAATTTGCTAGTTATATAATTCGATTATTTTGTTAAATATAAGTTTTGTAATATCTTTGATAATCTTTTGTTCTTAAAGATTTTTTGATCGTTTCAAATAGTTTTCTTTTATAATCCTGAATTGTAAATGTATATAGAGTTTTCAGATTCAATTCTGGTCGTGACCATCTTTTTTTTCATTTCGATGAAGAACTTACTTGTTCGGGCTAAATTATTTTTCCGCTAATTACGTAAAAAAAATTGATCACTGATTTAGGCACCCTAATTCGGTTCTATTTAATTAATCGGTTTTTATAATAGTTAAATATACTGTACACATAACTAAACCTGAACTAGATTCGAGGCTACTAGACTCGTGTAACGATTTCTTCTTTTTTTTTAGTTAAAATAACGATAAAGCATATTATTAAAATTTGTTTATGAAGCAGGAAAAAAAAACCTACTCATTTCAGGCTATTGTTCTTGATTCAAACAAATTTCGTAATCATTAATGTATCAAAAATGATACTTGAAACAATGGGCTGCATGGCAGCAGCAAAATGAATAAGGTTTTTTTTCCCTGCTATAAAGCCGACGTGTATAGTTAATGTAATTTATATACAGTAGTATGTGTGTCTTTTCACATTAATTAATATATTAAAGTGAAAACATCTATTTTAATAAAAGGATTGAATCCTAACGTATCACAAATAATCTCATTATTGATTCACCCTTATGAAAACGGTATTACTCTAGTTGAGTAAAATTATTTATTAATTAATATACTCAATATCGGTTAATTACTCAGTAACATGTGCGCTATTTTTTTTTAAAGAGTTTAATAATAATTTTATGTAATTATTTTATGCATTTTAATATTATAAATAATCGATACATGAATTAGGTTTAACGTGATTGGTATTGAAGAAAATACAAACTCTTTAAGGGTTAGAACACGTGAAATCATGAAAAGACCTGCAAAATAGTTAATTTTTCATGACAAATTATCAAGGTCTGACTAGTTTGTATGGATTAAATTAACAGCTCAAATTGGCGCAACTTGTCGGTTTTCATGTTTTTAAGCATTTTTGGACTTTTAAACCTTCTTACTTTTAAAATTTTGTTCCATTCTTCCCATCATTTACCTCAGAAACTCCATATTTATAAGATTTTTTTCTAATTATAAGAACACCCTTCCTTCTAATAGATTTCTTGACTTTGCTTCAGCGTGTCAGATTCAAATTCTAATAGCAAATTATTGATACTATTTTTTATATAATCTAAATTAAAATGGTTTGTTTTGCAAAAATTTTTGCTGTCACAGTCTTGTCTTATGTGCTATTCGTAGTGATAAGCCATTTATATGATACCTGAATTTTTTTTCGCATATAGTACGTACAGTACGTATAGTACTTATAATATAGTATACCTGGTATAAAAAAAAATTATTATCTTCGGAATACTTCAGCTGAACCTTGTTCATATGTTTTAGTTCATTTATTAGGATTATCGCTAATCGGGATAATTCGTGTTGATAAAAATTAATTAACTTGATTGGTTATCGCTTCCCGGTATTGGCCTATATAAAATGATCGGCAAAAAATCTCGCGTACAGTACGCACGTACAGTACGTATAGTACAGTACGTGGCACATCACTAACTATTCGAAATTCTTCTGTTGTTTTATTTTGAAATGAATTGATATATTTTAATAATTCTACTGGGAAATTCTTTGTATATATATTACGAATTTCTTCAAGCACTTCAGGATTAAATACTTTATTTGAATGTAAGTTTCGTCATTAGGGTCAATTATGAATGAATGTGCTAAGCTGAAAAGAATATTTATTAATATAAGTAATCATATTGTCAAAATCAAATATTTCATAATAAAAAAAATTTTTTTTAACATACTTCAACGCACTTTCCTGATTTCAAATACCATTTCTTCTCTTTTTCATTGCTTGAAACTTATTTTAGAATTCTGGCATGTGTGACTCGCTCATCTCTATATTTACAGATGAAACTTCTATTAATCCTTACCCGTCTCTCTCGTTTGTCTTCTATCTGAATCCATAGATCCCTGTTTGCTTATTCCTTGTTAATCTGTAACCAAATTATATACCGTATAACGATAAGTTACTTTCATATAACATAAGTTATTTGTAATAAATGATAAGCGATGAAAACCACATGTAAGGCATTTGAACAATTTACTTCTATATTTCGCGTTCTAGCATGGGAAGTCACTTTATCTTTGTCATTATTGTTTTTTTTCAAAACCACCACCCTCATTAGATTTGCGTAGTTTATTAGTGAACCGATTGATCTGTCATTCGTTTTGGACTTAGAAAATATTCACTTTATTTTGTCATTTAAATCTTATAGAAAAGCAAGGTCAAATAATAAAAATATATTAACAGAACAATAAATAATTCCACCGATTTTCAGTAAAGAAGAAATGCATATCCGTACCTTTTTCGATTATCTTTCTTAAATCTGGATATTTGGTTATTGTATATTTCACCATGTTTCACTGTTCGTTTGACTAATTGCTATGCCTTTTTTCTAGGTTTTGTAAATTTTGCGATCCTCTCCCTAAAAGTGAAAAATTAGATGTCAATGATGTCCTTGAATGATATTTTGCATTTTTATAAACCCCATCGGTAGGCCAGAAACTTTTATACAGGGAACCCAGAAAGCCCCCGCGTTCCCTAGCATCGGTCAGAAGCTATTTAACGAGTGCCCAGAAAGTCTCCATCATGTCACTTAAAAACTTTCACTTACCATTTTATAACTGTCAAGAAGCACTTGTGCAATTTCCATTCTGGCTTCTTGCTCGTAGTCAAAAATATTCTCAAGAGATTTTGTGTAAACATCCATCTTGATGCGAAAGTCTTTATGTAACATACATTCAAAAACCCAAGATAATCCAAACTGGAGGGATCACTATAGAAGTATTTGTGAATTGGAATTTCTACCTTAATTTTAAGAGATACGTTTGGACCGTTTAGCGTATATATAATGTGATAGTACTCATGACCAAAAGCGACCCTATCAATTAAAATATTTTTAGTGTATGGATAACGAGTTTTTGCATAGTATAATTATGACAGTGACTACAGTATTTCGTGGGCCAAACCACCACCCCCCCGTTATAAAATTATCGGTCATGCGGATAAATGAATGGTGCATATTATAGTTTATTTATGTGTAACAATACAAAATAACGATAACGTTACAAAAATCTAAAACTTTTGACAAAATAAAAAAAAAAAAAATTTTACAGCAATCATACGAACGTTTAATTAAATCTGGGTCAAGTGAATCCCAGGCAACTCCCACCCAAGAGGTAAGTAGGGAATATGATGGTCGCTTGATGCATCCTGAGGGAGTTAATTCGTGAATTGTTTAAGACATCCAACAATTATAAAGCACACGGATTTTTGCTTTAAAACTTTTATTAATACTGATATCCAATGGTTGTAGTTTAGATATAAGTCCACCAGGAATCACAGTCATATTTGTATTATGAATAAGTAAACATTGTTTAACCAGATCTATTAAATGTGCTCGAAAGGAGTCAAGTATTAAAAGAGAACTTGGATTATTAGATACTCTTCTAGATCAAATATTCTTGATCCATCACAGCATTTCATTTTTATTAACCTGATTTTTTTCATTTGCTTGAACAAAAACATTATAAGGAAAATTTTCTTAAGGTAGGGTTTTTCTTTTAAAAATGTATACAGGTTGTAGTTTTGTTTCATCAGCTAAACAAGCAAGAATAATAGTAAAATTTTTTTCATTTCTAGTAGTTTGAATGCTAGTAGTGTAGGTTCTATAAGTTTCAATTGTTGATAGATTTGGTGAATCAAATGTAAGAGGAGTTTTGTATATATTTTCTATCAAAAATAAAGTGTAATTTTATCAAATTAGAAGATTAAAAACATAATTAAAAAAATTTTGTGGTTGTTTTTCATAATCTTCAGGTAATTTCTGTGAGATAGCTGTTTAATAATGAATTAATAAGCTATAATAACTTAAGAAACTACTAAGCTAGTTATCCAAAAACTTAAATATTAAAGATTTATTGGTCTTAAAAATTTATGGTTTAGGTAAGTGAATCTGCTTTTGTAGTTATCATATTTCTAATAACAGTATTTTGTAATCAATATTAGTGTAATAAACTGTTAACTCATGTGTTAACTCTAGGTTATATAGAACCCAAAGTACTTGATTCTAACTCAATACTTTTGTAAAACAAGTTATAAAAAGTAATCTCATACAAAACATATAAGGATTATATTAGTTTCATTTATTATTTATTATTATACTTATTTAGAAAACAAGGCTAAAACAGCTAGAGTTTCACTTATATATTATTGGTTTTATTCTTTTTTTTTTAAATTTCAACCTTTGCAAGTTGAGATGAAGTCTTATCTCTATTTTTATTTAAATAAAATATAGTTAAGAGTTTATATGAAACTACCTGATAATAAATTACATACAAGAATTAAAGCTCAAATGATAATAAATTGCTATACTTAAAGTTAAACTAAAGCTAAAACTAATTTAAAATTATCTGCAACCTAAATCTACTAGAGTAGTCAAAACTCATCTAGATTTTGGTTAGAGAAAATAGAGTTTGTAAAAAAGCTATATTTAATCTAGTGTAATAGCTAAGCTGAGCATTTTTGTATAGTGAGCTCATTGATAAAATATGGTTATATTGAGGAGAAGAACTATATGAGTTATATAATTCTCATGAAGTATTTGAAGTTTGTTAATAGTTTCTTTGATTTGATTGAAAATTTGAGTGTGAAATATTGAAATTATATTGTTTCTTCCAGTTTGCATATTCAGAACAATAGAGTAGCTATAATTGTTTATAAATTTTTAAGTTGAGTTTAAAAAATAGCTTGATAATTAACTGTGAAGCAATATGAAGTGAGTTAGTATATGGTTAGATTATTTAAATTAATATATATGGTAAAAGTTCTTTAAGTGAAGTGTATAAGCTAAGGGTATTAAAAGTATTAGAAGCTAGTTGAAGTAAAAAATATTGAGTTATTAAGTTTTGTAGTATATTAAGTTAAGATTCATTAATTTCTAAGTTTACAGTATAGAGGGTTTCATTTACTGATTATAAAATAATTTTTTGTAAAGTATTATTGTTATGGTTTGTGATCTAATGGAGTTCTGAATCTGTTTGGTTGCATTTGAAGCATTTGTTATTTGGTATAATATTTGGATAATATTTTTGTAGGTGTGATGGTATAGATAGTTCATTATGTAGGAGTTTAATACAAAAAGTTTTAAGTTTATTAAATTTGAAATTAGTAAATTTGTATGAATGTTTATTGTTATTGTTAAGGTATAACTATGTTAAATTCTAGTCAATTTGGTTATATAGATGAGCTCATATTTGATTACAGTTCTGTGATAACTACATTACAATAATGTGAGTATTGTATATTGTTTTGATAAGTTTACATGTAGATTGTTCGACATTATAGTTTTCCTATATAATATGAAAGTTAGGATTATATAAGTTAGTATATTTAAATTCAAGGTATAATAGTTTTGTGCTAATATATTAGCTATTTCATTCAAATCATCATTGCTATGAGCTAGTACTTTATAGAAAGTTATTGAAAGTTTGTAAGATTTGATAAGATTGAGTATTGTGTGCCAAATTAGCTAGCAGTTGTAAGAGTAGAAATATGAAGGGTTTGTTATTTTTTGGTGAGCTTTTGGTATTTAGATATTACAGATTATGAGTCTGTATAAATATTAATTTTGCAATTACAAGAGGTTGTACTAATTGCTAATAGTATTGTAAGTAACTCTGTTTATATGATAAGGGCTAATATTAGATTTATGCTACAAAAAAGTTTGTTATTAAATTGTTTTCAACTTGTACTCATTCAATACCTATAGAGCAATAGTTAGTTATTAGATTGTGAACAGATCTATCTGTATAAAAGGTTAAATTTGTAGAGTTGAAGTTAGAAGTTGCAATAGTATTTAGTTTAAG